CCCCCAAACACACAGCAAGGCTAACTAAGGAGTGGCTCTGTAAGAAGCATTCCAAGGTCCTGGAGTGGCCTAGCCGGTCTCCAGACCTGAACCCAATAGAAAATCTATGGAGGGAGCTGAAACTCCGTGTTGCCCAGCGACAGCCCCAAAACCTGAAAGATCTGGAGAAGACCTGTATGGAGGAGTGGGCCAAAATCCCTGCTGCAGTGTGTGCAAACCTGGTCAGGAACTACAGGAAACGTCTGACCTCTGTAACTGTAAACAAAGGTTTCGATACCAAATATTAAGTTCTGTTTTTCTATTGTATCAAATACTTATTTCATGCAATAAAATGGAAATAAATTATTAAAAAAATCTTACAATGTGATTTTCTGGAATTTTTTTTAGATTCTGTCTCTCACAGTTGAGGTGTACCTACGATGAAAATGACAGATCTGTCCATTTGTAAGTGGGAAAACTTGAAAAATCGGTGGTGTATCAAATACTTATTTGCCCCACTGTATTTCCCCCATTGTGGGATTAATTATGGGACTAATATTCTTTTCCTTGATTTCTTGATCTCTTGAATACTATATTTTATCTTGTTCTTAGGTATTTTGATTTGTTCTCAGGGATTAATTGTGGGAGGATCATTCTTGTTCTTGATTGTCTCTCAAATACTATATTCTGTTTGGTTTTAGGTACTTTGGAATGTGTTTCTCAAGATATGCGTGTAGTGTTTGTTCTTATGGTGTTTTGTTGCTGCTCTCTATTGCTGCTAGAACACAGGAATTTCCCCTTTGTGAAATCAATAAAGTCCTACCTACCTACCTAATAAGCATAACTTTATTGCCAAGTATTTCAAGAACACAAGGAATTTGACTCCAGCTCAATGGCCCCCAATGTGCACAACATAAAAACAAAATAAATACACAATATATACAAGCTAAAAAATCACACATTAGAAGAGCAACATAGACTAGCTGTTCATCATTGTAATAGCACAGGGAAAGAAACTATCTCTGTGTCTGGATGTCTTGGCGTACAGGCATCAAATTGTGTCCAAAGACCAAAATGAGCTGGATGAGAACTAGCAGGACTGTTTTAGGATGATAACAGCATGTTAGCCTGAATTAGCATAGCCACTTTTGAAGAAATGTACAAAGTTGATTAAGCTGGATACCACTTTACCTGTTGCAATTTTTTAAATTCTGTTACTCAACACCATATTAATTCAGAAATAGACTTCCAAACTTGTCCAGCAGGGGGCAGCAGGCTAACATACTGTCAGTGTGCATTAACACCAGAGCACCACACCTTTTTATTTCTAAAGTCTGCAAAAACACAGCCAAAACTTTTCAGAGTTGAGGCATTAAGAACAGGATGCGTGGTTAAATCACAGGTAATGTTGCAGCTGATGGTATTGTTTAGTTCACATGTTCTGTTTCAAGACTGTGAAGTGAAGTTGAATAAATTGTGTTTCCATAGCTACGCCTTATAGACTGGGGTTTGGCAGAGTTCTACCACCCATCCCAGGAGTATAACGTCAGAGTGGCCTCACGATACTTCAAAGGCCCCGAACTCCTGGTGGACTACCAGGTAACTCGCACACTTTGAGTGTGACACTTAAACATTGAGTAGCGAGCTTTCATAGATACTTCACTTTGTGCATTGCTCTCACATTTACGCACAAGAAAATGCACATAAAACATGTCTGTGCAATAAATGCTCTGCCAGTCACACACTGATGAAAAAAAGTGCTGTACAGGGCTCCAGACTGACATTTCATACTGGTGCCACCAAGTCTCTCAGATGGCAGCATCGCCTGTGTTTTACAGTGTAATGCAAAATAACCTGTATTTTTCACAGTTATTTTAAATACCTCCAATGTGCATAGCCTGCATTTATAATAAATTCACAGAGAGACTTATGGGACACAACAAATGGGAAAATCAGTCAGGAACAAGTTTGTACCTCTTTATGTAGTCACTGTAGTGCTCTGTAGCCTAGCAGTCAACATGAGTGTGGGTGGCTGTGGCTCACGAGGTAGGGCAGTCGTCTTCGACTCCCGGTCTCCCCGCATGCCTAAGTGTCCCTGAGCAAGACACTGAACCCTGAATTGCTCCCGGTGGCTTGACTAGCGCCGTTGCGTGGCAGCCTGTCGTCATCGGTGTGTGAATGTTGTGTGTGTGAATGGGTGAGTGGTGTATGATCTCCTGTAAAGCGCTTTGGCCAGTGCAACACACTGTGAGGGAAAAGCGCTATATAAATACAGTCCATTTACCATGATGATAATGATGAAGATTAGTCTGTTATATTTCAATTGAAGTATATAAACTGATTAATTGTGCGCATGCTTTGCTGTTTGTGTATGTTGTGTTCATTTTTATTCTGAAGAAGAATGTGCCTGTGTTGGACTTCATGTTCAGCTAGTGCAGCTCATTTCTGGGCTAAAGTCATTAGTAGCCTACTACTTAAAGGACTGATGGTGGGTTTCAGTGACTACTATCTTCAAACTGGGACATCACTAGAAGTAAGCAGCGCATGTATGAGCTACTTTAGTGTTTGATCCGTTCAGTCCACACTGACTCTGACCTCTGTGCAGTGTTTCTCATCAGAACAGCAGCCTGTCAGCAGGAGGACAGCAGGTCTTCACCAGGCTGACTGATGGCAGAAATGTACCAGACAAAAATAGTCTTCATGTAGTCTCATCAGCAACAAATCAGCAGTGTTTATATGTTCTGATTTATTTCTTTTTTTTGGACAGGGAGAGGGGGAGTAAAACCAGTAAGCTCAGCGACACAAGGAGCCTGATCATCAGAAATGATTCAAATAAAGTTTACAACACATAAACAGGCTAACAGGTGATCTACCTGATTTAAGCAGCTGTCTGTGGTGACTTCAAATATGCCAAAAGTAAAAATAAGCTCGAAGCTTAAAAAAGGGGTCCAGGGATGACGCGCATCTCTTAGTAGGTGTGGATCGACACATTTGATAGACTGAAGTCTCTGCTTTGTGAAAGGGGTGAATGACAGACCTGCAGATTAATGCTGTATCGCAGTATCGCAGAGATTGTTACATCTGTCCACCATTCCTATAGTGAGAGCAGACACTAGTGCATAACCTGTTTATTTTGCAGTTGCACCCAGTACAACCCAAAAAATCAGTCACACCTTAAATAAATCACTTGCAGTCTGGAGCCCTGATATAGATCATTTGGATGTGTGTGTTCTCATCAGCAGCGGTGCTGTTTCATGATTTTGTGTTTCAGATGTATGATTACAGCCTAGACATGTGGAGCTTGGGCTGTATGCTGGCCAGTATGATCTTTCAGAAAGAGCCCTTCTTCCATGGACAAGACAACTACGACCAGGTACCTGTGATGCCTGTGCAGCATGTTATATATTACTAATTATTGATTTCACACACATTCAAACACACACAAGTTTGTTTTACCACACACACAGTGTTGTTTGAGGCATCCTGTGTCTCAGTTAAGCCCACGACGTGCTAAATGTGTAATGGAGACAACCTGGACCTATCAGATGCTCTGTGTAGTGGAGCGCTGCTGCTCCAGCATAAACACAACTAACGCTTCTCAAGAGGTTCTCACAGTGGTGGAGGGTGCAGGGTGTTAAAGTCGGATCTGAAATATCAGTTCAAAATTTCAAACAAATGTATCCTCCTCCATTAGAAAAGAGAGGAAAAAAACAAATGTATGTGTGTCAGGGAGAAGATGTGGGGAAGAGATATGTGGTACACAGAGTCTGAACCTTGATGTCTTGAATTTCTTAGTTGGTTCGAATTGCCAAGGTCCTGGGAACAGACGAGCTGTTCGGCTACCTGCGTAAATACCACATTGAACTGGACCCACGCTTCAAAGACCTGCTGGGACAGTAAGTGCTTCTAGGACTCCCATCACACCCCTGTGATGTACAGAAGCTGCAGGCACGTTTCTGGCACTTCAGACAGCATGAAAAAATGACAGTGCTGCTCTTTGTGGTCACATCTCTAGTCTTAATTGTGCATGTCAAAAAAGTTCTGATTTGTAAAACCCTCTTACCCCTTTTCACCAATGCAAACTAGTTAGTTCTAGATAGTGTGGATACCCAAACCAAGCCTGACAAGACCTGTAAGTACTTGAGGATTTGGGCTGGAAATTATGTTCAGATCTGGGTCGGGTTCGGACACGTAGGTCAAACTTTAGGCTGGATGACAGGAGCACTCAAATGTCTGCTTCATTTAATGATGAGAAAACCACTGTACAAACTCAACTGCGTCGGGCTTGGGATGGTTTCAGAAATTATATGGTATAAGCTTGTTTGGTCTGGGTCAGGTTCGGATGCCACACTCACACACGGTTTGGGTTTGGACAGAAATATGCAGTGTGATCCATGCTCTAGTTCTGGACTGGCGCTGGTGTCAGTTTGAAGTTGGTTCAGCCTGGGAACCTTCTAAGAACCACTTTGCTTTTTCATAGGGAGCCACCATAGAGCCTCATCGTTAGGTCAGTGTACAGTGGGTACAGAAAGTATTCAGACCCCCTTAAATTTTTCCTTCTTTGTTATATTGCAGCCATATGCTAAAATCATTTAAGTTCATTTTTTCCTCATTAATGTACACACAGCACCCCATATTGACAGAAAAACACAGAAT